AAGAAGTATGTGCATAGGCTTTGCGTGCAACACAGTGGCGTGGCGTGAATTGCGATGTATCGATTGCTATGCCATTTAAACCTATGGTAAAGAATCGATTATTAAGGTGTTCGCTGCGAACACCCTGTTTATCGATCCTTTTCCATAGGTTTAAATGGCATAACAATCGATAAATCGCAAAGCACGCCACGCCACTGGTGCAACATAGATCCTTTTAGCATAAATACGTCCAACTGTCCGTCAGAATTGATCAACTTTTCCGAAACAGTGGCCCTGCAGGGGCTGATCGTTGAAATTGGTAGACAAAGCTACAGACAAAGAAGACAGAAGGGATACGGAAGGATCCTATTGGCGGAAGTGGGTGGTTGCAATTGACAACGGAGGCAGGCAATAGACTACCTAACGGCAACCCACGAGAGACCTTAATGGTTGGTCCAACATTTATCCCCATAGTCTATAAGAACCGCCCATTCACCATTTCAACCGCGATAGGATCGCTCCATACTTCCTATGTCTTCTTTGTCTATAGCTTTGTCTATCAAGTTGAACAATCGGCAACAGACCCCGATCAAAGGTAGCGCATGATAAGTGGGTGGCGCCAACACATTAAGAGAGGGGCGCAAAAATGAGAGGACAGAAGAAAGTTGAGGAAAGAAGGAGGAATAAGGTAAAGAGCAAATAAAAGTTTAAGTACCGAGGAGCGTGAATAGAAAGCTATTCAAAAATGTCATCCTGCATGCTTTGACCGAACGAATGAAATAAAAGATGCTAGATTTAATTGATAGATATCGGTCTCTTGAATCTCGCCTTCAATTTTTCCGCATAGGCAACCAACGTATCGAAGAGCACGAATTATCATTCAAAAGACACACCTCTCAATTGCTCCATCAACCTCGATTGAACCGATGAAGGATGCTGCTAACCAAATCGTAGGCAATGCTCACCTGAGCTTCGCCTTCAGTTTCGCTAGATAGGCAATAAAAAGATACCGGGAAGCACGCGAATAGAAAGAAATCTATAGTATTGAATATATTCAAGAAACATACATTGATCTCGCTTAAACAATCGACCCTGCATTAACATATTGACAGATATCGTCCATTTACGGTTCGCCTTCAATTTCGCCGCATAGGCAACAAACATACCGAGGAGCTCGAATAGTTGCCTATTCCAAAAATACACACTTATGCTGCTCCTTGAGCTGGACGTCGCACAGTGGACCGACTCAATTGGAGAGGTCGGACATGAAATTTTCGTCGCACCCGTCGTAAAACGAGCGCTTCATTGGGCTTCGGACAATGCTCGAATGCTTATACCCAAGGAGCAGTGAACGCGATAAGGTGCGATTTGATCGGAGAATGTATTGCGATTTTATCGAGGTAGATTTATTGCAGTATTATTGGATGAAAAATAGCGATGAATTACGATTTCATCGCATGCATAAAATCGCGATTTTATCGACGTCAATTTATCGCAACATTACCTACTGCAAAAAATCGTGATGAATTCAGACAAAATTTCGATTTTATCGAACGCGATTTCATAAAGATAAAATAGCGACACGATGATCGCCCGGGTGTTAATAATCCTATTGATTTTATCGCCCAAAAATTGTAAAAATATCGCAACTCAATTCCAAAATATCGTGAATTTTCCTTCGGAAAATGCTACTCGGATACGACGTTCTTCCTATGCTGCCGTCCTAAGGTAACACGACGTATGAGCCTTCAGGCGTTGCCAAATTCCCCTTCAAAAATCACTAGTTTTCAAGAGAATTTGTGAATATTTTTCTTCCATCATCTCAGATCATTTTGTTTGTAATTTGATGTAAAAAGTCTGAAAATTGGGAGGAAAAATATTGATAATTTTTCTAAAAAAAAACGAACATTTCACCGGAGGAAATTTGGCAACTCTCGAATGATCATACGGCGTTTTTCCTTAGCACGGCAGTATTACAGCGGTAGAAGGGCTAGCAGATTTAATCGGAACACTATGAATTTTGTCCCTCGAGGAACTCCTCAGAGAGCAGCACAGAGAATACCCCATGACGTAACGTATGCGTGTCATCCTATCTGCTGCTCTCAATTTTCACGGTGCTTAGCACCGCCTAAGGTTGAATTACAGGCTTATTTATGCGTTGTCAAATGGGTCAGTCCTGTTGGTCACTACTTGGTGTTTGAACGTTGTCAGTTATGACGTCACTTAGAGGATTCCCGAATCGAATCCGATTCAAACGATACTAATTACAAAGCCTACTACTTCACTGCCGTCTATACAGGATGATCCCGCACCAACAGCACCAGGCATCACCCCTGTACCTTTTGAGCAACTTGAGATGGGCGCTTGAGTTTTCTGGTGTGCCCCTTGACCAAAATAAATGACCTCCGGGTCCCCAAAATTTTAGGAGGGTTATTATGAAGATGAGCAAAAACCTTCGGTAAGGGTCATAGGGTTGGTCCAGGGCGTTTGGATCACCCTGTATTAGAATAAAATGACACACATCACTTTTCAGGGGCACAGTTCTCAATGCGTCTACAAGCAAATCGGTCGATATTAAAACCTAGCATGTCAAAAACAGTGAAGAATGAGTTTTTGCGTATTTTTGTCGACAAAATTTCATCATTAGGTGTAGTGCAAGAACTACTCAAAAACACCGAAAATTGGGCATGTCTATAGAAGCGAAAATCCTACGTGTATGTCATTTCTTGTAAATGTTTAAATTTTAGGACTTCTTCTTCTTCTTTTTTTCCAAAAGTCCTCGAAAGTCGTCACACAGTATTACGCCTGGTATTAGTTTGCAAAATTTTACCGAAAACTTCGATATACCTAATTCAAGAAGTGAATATCGTAAAACGGAAGACAAAAAGGTTTGCAATATCTATTACTCTGAACGTATTCCCGGGCAGGATAATCTGAACGTTTTTTGGTCAACTTTGGTGCACGAGAATGTGACACATTTTAGCGAGATGATCTGTGAGGATTTTTACAAACAAAAAATAAAATCCAGAAACGTTGATCCAACGGCTATCGAATCTCTCTCTTAGCTCATTCAAATTAGGCCGCACTTAAATATTTTTGTTTTTCAAACTTTTTCGCCAGTGCGCAACGTTTCTCAATGTCTTTATGGAAAAGTCATTAGTCGGTGTAGGTACATCCATGCAGCGTTCTTTTGAAGTCGAAGAATTCGATGTTCATGTTCTATCGCGAAATCGTGCCAGAAATTATTGGTGCGACCTCGAAGAATGGGTGCTTGAAGGTAAAAATCGGTATGACTGGAGATTGCGAAACGTAAACAAACTTTGCGAGCAGTGTTGTCTTTGTTGCATGCTGAGCCGAATGAATGCGCGTAGATAAACGTGTCTACGCTCAGCGTGATCCATAGAATTGAACAAAACGCGGCTCTACGGGGTGCACCAGAGTTCTAAGTGCCTCCAGCTCCTGCATGAAGGACTGATAGTAAGCAAGCATTTGCAAGCGCAATTATTGTAAAATTGTTTTAAAATTTACTAAATTATCATACGACATGCATTGATACGGTTTCAGAACATTTTGTCGACGATTTTTTGTCCGCGCACCTTTTTTGTTCAGTAGTTTACGCCCACACGTAAAATAAGCAACAGTAACTTGGTCCAAGCTTAATATTTTAGTCGGTATGTAAAATTATATTGACAATATGGAAATGAGAAAGTGAGAGAGAAGGAGGTGTTGTTATGGTTGCTCATTTTCTAAATGAAATATTATTACTTTCTCCTTTTGAATCATCTTTTTAAATTGTCATTGGTGAATATTTGGTTTTATTTCTATCCTTAAAATATTGAATGTACAATATACCTTATATATGTATGGGTACTTTTTTTTTATTTTTTCTTTACGAAATTTTTACTTCATTTTGAAAACATTTTTATTTTTAAAACGTGACAAATATTTGTAAAACCTTTTCCAAGCGACATTAATCTCAATGAGCCGCAGTTGTGCCGACAGAAACTGCAAAAATGAATAAAAGAGGAAAAAAACCAAGAAACACGCAATCTTTAGTGTTAACCCATTTATACATTGATCTTCTAGAGTCATATGCATCAAATTTTGAGCGTTTCGTTGCGCGTGCACCTCGCTGCAGCACAATAAAAGCACAAAATGTAAAAGAAAAAATTAAAGTTCTTTGGAAATCATTAAATTTGACACGGAACCACCAATATTTAAAAAACACACATTCTATTATTATTCTCCTTTGATAAATTGATACATATTTTTCCCCCATCAATTTAAATGAGAATAATCAATGCAGAGTGTGCCAACATTTCAAAATCATGAGTTAAAAAACGTTGACTATGCGAGTACAAATATTAAAGCCGAACAGAGCGGAGCGGCGTGCTACCAGCGCGAGAGGCTCACTGGCGCCTACAAACCTAAGTGGATACTTCACGCATTGCACAATGCTTGAAGTATCCACTTAGGTTTGTAGGCGCCAATGCGCGTTTCGAGCTGGCCGCCCGCCCGCCGTGCGGCGGCGCCTGGAGCAACTATTTCACAACAGAGGTGTTGCACATTATACGAAATTTTATTATACGAAATTGAACGTATTAAGAACGCCAGGCATCCTTTACAAGTACAGATCTTTCCTCGCAAAATAAATCAACACTGCCGTGCTGAAGAAGAACGCCGTATGAAAGTGCAAGAGTTGCCGAGTTTCCTTGAATAAAAAATGTATTTTTGAAGAAAGTTATGCGTATTTTTTCTTAAAATTTTCCGATATTTTAGATTAAACTGGGAACAAAATTGCCTGAAAAATTGGAAGAAAAGTATTCTGAATTTTCCTAGTAAATTCGTTGGTTATTAAAGAAAATATGGCAACAACTGAAGGCTCATACGGCGTTTTTCCTTAGCACGGCAGAACACATCTTGTAAACAAGTTTATACTGAATGCTTTTACTTTTAAAAGGGCCATGTAAGTATGTATCAATTTAAATCTTCTTTTTACTAAATGATCTTCTGCTCAACAGATTGGTCAACGCACTGCAGCCAGGTTCAGTTAAGAAGATAAATGAGAGCACAATGGCCTTCAAATGCATGGAGAATATTAACAACTTCTTGAAAACTGCTACTGAGATGGGCGTCCCAGCTCAGGAGACATTCCAAACCGTTGACCTGTGGGAACGGCAAAATCTTAACTCAGTTGTGACCTGTCTCCAATCTCTCGGCAGGAAGGTGAGTCCCTGCGAAAAATCTCTATTGACGGATGAGGGGCGCACTTGTGTCTATCGGCTTTGTTGGTGGAAAACAAGACATGCTAAAGAAATGCGCACACCGAGCGTCGATTTATCGCGCATGTCGATCGATCTTTGATCCATCGATAAGGTTGCATTGGAATAGATCAGGAACTGTTGTTTTTCATTTCATGTGATACTTAGATATTTTAAGATTTGGACTCAGACATGTTTCATCTTCTAACCAATATGCTGGGCTGGGCTTGACACCCTTATACTGCCATGCTAAGCAAGAACGCCGTAAATCCATCAATATTTTCCCTCGTTTTTTGGAACTTAACACTTCATATCATAAAAACTGTCTTACCCATGCACCTCAAATTTTCAAATTAAGTTCTTGATAGGATTTGCGACAGAATTCCGTGAAAATATTGTCCCAAGGTACACAAGTTTTTTTGCTATGATACGTTGTTTCCAAAAAATGTAAAATGGCGTTTACGGCGTTTTTGCGTTGCACGGCAGTATACTAAAAGGTCCTATAACTGTCCCTCTTTTTTCTAAAGCTGCCTCAGTGGCGTGCTCTCTTTGAAACGTCATAAATCATCCGCTGTTTACAATGCGTACCTATTCATTTTTGTCAAAAAGCGCCTAAGTCGCTTCAAGTTTATGTTTCATACGTTCTGATTCAAAATTAAACGTAAGTAGGTGACGCGATTATGACAAAAAGAGCAATACTGACAGTTACATTTCAAACAGCACGTAAGTGATGCATTTGTTTTGAAAATCGCGTGAGTGATACGCAAGTTGTTAAGATCACGTACGTCATTCTTTCTTCGCATTTTTAATTCTTAAAAATCCCTCACATTTTCTAGATGGAATTTCGTCATTAAAATAGGTGTCATCAATGTCATTATGCCTCATTTTAATGTTAGAAAGCATACCAAAGGTCAAGCCACAAAACCACAGATCTCGAATGGGATGTTTAAAAATTTCCAGTCCTATATTATCGAATATTTTTTACAAAGAGTTTTCAGAAAATGTTCTTAAAAGAGCAAAGAAAAAAAGAGACAAAATTAAAACTAACATGTTACCATGAAAAACTACCCTTCAAAATCTTAAAAAATGACAGGAAAGCTGCACCCATGCGGATCGATGGTATACCTATAATGCCTATACCTATATTGTGACTTCATAGTCTGACAATCGATAAGTTGGAGGCACACAGCTACTTGACCGTCCATGCATATTATTAGATATTTGTGATTAGCAAAAATAATTGACATGGTCGAGATGAGTTCAAGCCGATGACCTATTAAAATAATCAATTATTTAAGTATGCCTTATCTATCACAGTATGAAGCTTATTTCAAACGTTGGATAAAATGATGAGTTATCATTTTGTATAAATTATATTACCAGAAAGACTTTCAAAACAGAAGATGGATACGAAGGGGGAGGGGGGGTGTTGCAAAGTGCAGTCTTAGATAAGCCACCCCCTCAAATAAAGATATTATTTTTCAATGGATAAATTTTTTCAGCTATTTTTCGCACTTTCTTGTTATTTCTGAAAATTTAGGGAGGGTCAAGCAGGTCTTACTTACATAATTCATCAGGAGGGTCTTAGAGGTGCCTTACAGGAAGAAAGGGGGTCACATACTCAGCCAAAATGCCTCCATGCTTTATGAACAGCCCCTAATCAAGACATGTGGTTTTGCAGTTTTACTATTGATACCTATTTGTGAGGGCATTAGGAGAAAGCATACCTCAGTTTACAATTTCGGAAATCTTCTGTCACATCGTATTGTAATGAAAAAAACCGTTTCCAATTATTGAGCATAGCATTTTTTTTCCAATCAAAAATTAGCCTCTGGTGTCTACAAAAATGTAAGTCACAATCGCTGTAACTAGAGATGGACCACAATGGATAGACTTCTTTGATTTTAGAGAGAATTAAAAATCTTCGAAATTGGTAAAAAAAAAAAATCTGCATTGAGGCAAATCAAAACTAGTGCTTCTCTAGTTTTACCTGCAACACAGTTGCTAAGGTTTAGCTCAATATTTGTGGGTATGGCTTCTATGATATTCTACAGCTACACTCCACACTTCAATTAAATTGGATTGATTTGATCAAACAGAACTAAGTGCTTAGTAATGATTGTGCGTTGCTTTTTTCAGGGCCATCAATTCGGAAAACCAAGTATTGGACCGAAGGAAGCTGATAAGAATGTCAGGAATTTCTCTGAAGAACAATTGAAGGCTGGCCAAGGAATCATTAGCTTGCAGTACGGTAGCAACAAAGGAGCTAATCAAAGTGGAATCAATTTTGGAAATACCAGACATATGTAAATTCTTCCAACGCCCTTGTTCACTGCATTTAATTACCCGCTGATTCCAAAACTTAACTAAAATGTTCGTTCAAATTTTTCGATGATTCATCACATCAAAATCAATATCTTTTGATGTTCTACAAGTACTTCAGCTTTAGATTTAAAGTCTAGTATGATTTAAATTCCCTTCTAGAAGAAAACTACTTGCAGCATGAAATTATGTAGTCCGGGTTTCGTGCTTTGAAAAAAAAAATCTGCAAGAACATACTTACAGTACTTAATTGAAAAAAAGGGAAGGAAAAGGGTGACAGAAATTTTTTTCAAAAACAGAAAAATCATGAAAGAGAAAAAATCTAATTGGGATATAGATTAAAAAAGTTAAAAAGAAAATTAATTGACACATTTATTCAAAGGAGGTTCATCTACTTAGGAAATCCTTTGCTGATAGACTTTCTTTACGTACATGTATCCAAATAAAAATTACAATATTTGAGTACTTGTCTTTTGAAGTTAGATTTAAAGAGGAATTTGCCAAACAAATCCATTTTCACGGTAAGCCAATCTTTTGGAGTAATTCTATACCATTTTTGTTGTTGTTGTTATTACCTATTTTACTTGACCAAAAGTGAACTCTATGATTATTAATTTATTTATTTACTTATTTATTAAAGTATGATATTCTTATCGTGCTTATAATTCCTAGATCAAATTTTTATCTTTTGAAAATAAATGAGCACCTATTATTTGATGATTAGCATTCTTCTTGATGTTATTTTCCACCCTCCTAACTCATTTTTAACTTAAAATTTGCATGTAACTCTACTTTCAATAATTAAATGTGCTTTTAAGGGCACCCTTGAAACATCCCTGAAAATTGAGAGCATGATTTGGCCGAAACGTTTTTGATTAGGTAGTTTAGAATAGGATTAGAAGATGATTTTAATACCAGAATGATTCCTAATTATTCTCATTTAGAAGGGATGCCACAAAAATTTAGCTTCTTCTTTAATCCGGAGACTTTAAAAGTAAACACTCAGCTACAAAGATCATTATAATTTATTGTACAAATGTCTTGAAATAACTACATGAGAATCCAGCGAATACATTGAATACAGTTAAATACTCAGCTGCATGCTGATTCCTTGATTTATAGAAAGCTCAATCCAACTTCTGACTGACATTCCGACTAAGAACTCAACAAATACTTTCTATCAGTCAAGCAAAGTATGACTGATTTACACTTGATAGTCAAGAGGTAACTTAGATCATGCTCAACGGGTGACAAACTCGATTTTTCTTAACACTACCTGCAAATTAAAACATAAATGCTGTTGAATAAAGCCATTATTTCAACAATATTTTAACCTGACATCAAAGTGTAAGAATTGAAACAAATAAATGAACAATATAGCAAGCACTGGTGTTGAAAAAAAGGAGGGATTGAACTGGGATCTCTTAACTCTTTGTTGATCGCACCTGTTATAGTGATACTGATGGTTCCTATATTTGCTTTTAGCTACACTGCCCAATGCAAAAGCTAGAAAAGCTGGCCCAAAACTGGGATGATTGAAAACAATCCTCAAGAAGTTATGGATAACTTCTCAGTGATGAATACCAATCCTCACTCGAGATAAAATCCTGGTGATATTGAGTCCCAGCACACGACACTCACCCTGATCAAAAATCTCATGAAGTCCTTAAAAATTTAAAACTGTCATAATAGACTAACTAAAGTCGTAACCATAACTACAGGATCCTATTAAGCTCTGTGTTGATGACTGGAAATTGAGCATTTGATATTACCTAACTTAAAAAATGAAATTAGTAAGAGCTTGTCTATAAAATGGAAAGAAAGAAAAAAACTCACCAACTCTCTGGGAGAGCAGAGAACAGCTGAAAGCATTTTATCTTTGGAAAGGATAGTAATGCAAACCAGTATTGGGTAGCCATGCACTTTTTGGTTTCCAATTTTTCACTTTAAGAGACGCTGCAATCATATCTTGAACTTCTTTCCTACAACAGAGAGAATCCATGGAGAAGTTAAAACACTGAAGTAAACTAGTGAAAGAAACTTCCTACTTTTTTATTCAAAAATTGTATAATTGATTGAATCTTTTGAGCCATCATTAGGAAAGGACGCCAGAACTCTTAGGTTTTTAGAAATTTTCTTCTGTTGCATAACTTGATTCAATTGGGAAAGTACTTTTCTCAGCAGATCCTGGTATGATATGAGGAAATATTTGTGATTGCCCAAAAGAAAAGAGATCCTAGCCCAAACTTAGCAACTCAAACTTTAACCGCGTTAAGCAGAAAGGAATCAAGCCACATCAGCTATTGCTAAATTTAATTGGGCCATTTAGTATCTTACATGAAAACGGCTGTGCGGATTTTGGCGCAAATTTCGGTGAATTTTCTGCATAGTACGAGGCAAATTCTTGTAAATTTTCAAAGGAATCAGCACAAACATTCTCATGAAAAAAATTAAATTCCCCAGTTAAATTTGGCGATAGCTGATGTGGCTTGGTTCCTTTCTGCTGAACGCAGTCCAATTGAGCTGTCAATACCAGGGCATGGAAGAGTATTCTACAATTATAATACAAATTACCACTCAAAAATGCCGAGGCAAATGGGAGTAACGGTAGTTTAAAATTTGTGGTACAAAAAAATTGATATGATAAAAAGTAGTTTAAAATTCTAATCTGTGGAATGATGATTAAAATTGATATACAACGCGATAGACGAAGCAGACAAAAAAAAACTGAGCTATCCTATCAGTTGAAACAAGTGGTTGTTATAGACTAAGGGGGGAAATGATGGACTAGGGTCTCCCGTGAATTTTCGTTAGTTAGCCACCATTTTCCATCGTAGTCTATGATAACCATCCATTTTAACCGATGGGATCAATCCATTTACCATTTGTTCTCTTTGTCCATCAATGTTAAGAATTAGCTGTTCAATGCTTAAGAAATCCAAATTATAATGTAACTTTACACTCTCCATGGACATAATCATGAACATAACTGCTAGCAATCTAATCTTCGGGATACAGGAGAGCATTTTTTGTCTAACTTTCCAAATAGTAAAGCAAAGGTAAGTTTTCTTGTTTGAAAGTATCAGGTCAAATGGTGATAAAAAATTTAAAAGAAAATCATTGCCAGGAACAAATTCAAAATTGATTTTGTAGACAAATCTTGAGCAGAAAAAGCAAAAAACCATGAAAAAGGCATGTTAACCAACATTTCAATTGCTGCGTCGATCATCTGGGAGGGGGGTAAGAGAGTCGGCTCTGGCAAATCATTTATCAAGAATGTAAGTAATATGACTATTGAATTCTTAAAATATCCAGAAGAAAGCATTAAAGACATTTTGAAGAGAAATATTTATCTCTGAATGATCATTTGCAACAACGAGGATGTCTTATGATAAAAATGCATTGCAAGAAGATTGCACTTTTTAGAATGACAAATAAAAGGTATTTTAAGAATATATACCGGTATGCAGGAGGTTTCAGCTCATCATCCAAAGTGCAAGAATGAGACTCTTCCGCAGGATCTTTAACCTTAAAAATATTCGACCTTATAATATCAACGTCTCTTTCGTAAATTCTCTTTAATGGAAGTAAATGGTGCGGAGCTACTTCAAATTCAACAACAAAGTAACTGAAAAAGAAGGTTGGGATGCATTAAATAGGTATTAGAAATTTTTTTCTTTTAAATGGAGATTGCACTTTTAAAAATTGATAGTACAAAAATTACATTTCAGACGATAACACAAATGAAAGAAAACCAACATTAATCAAATATTCGGTTGAACATTAGGTAAAAATTTGTTAGGAAAAAATAAAATGAAAAGCATGATTCTTCTTCTACAATTTGTGTCTACTGGACACCCTGGAAATGCAGTTAGAAATATTTTTTTTATTTTTGCATCTTAGTAGGTATCTAAAAAGATAAACAAAATCCACATATCTTAGACCAGTGCTTTGCAAAACTACAATTTGCAGATCGAAGTCGTTACATATAAATTCTTTGTTCACAATTCTTTCAATGCCTTGATTCTTCAAGGAATATCTAGTTTCAAAAACTTCCCAACTCACAAAAGAATGAAAATTCCGTTTCATTACAAAAAATTTGTTTTTTTGGCCATGGGTATCTCTTATTCTTTCCTTTTATGACATTACAAAAATTACATTTCATACCTACATTGCAAAGATAGGCATGAATTCTTGCTTGTTTTGAAAGAACGCAATCTATGCGGTAGGTATTCATATTGGACTGATGAAGGCCTGAAAAGTTCCATACTTCTGGCTACACAGACTCTTTTTCTGTTTGAGATAACATGTGCTGGTTTTTGGCTGAATCCAATTTTGCTATGTCTCTGGGAATCCCCCCCCCCTCCTTGACTTGGGCACTTTTCAAAACAAGTTATTCAAATGCTTTTAATCCAAATCCAGCACCTCATCCCTGAGGTACAACTAACCAACTTCAGTCACTCCTTCACAAAGGACAGATTATAAGAATGCGGAGTATGAAGAATCCAACTATTATCTTATCTCCTCCTACTAATTTGTATCAAAATTTACTTTGGAGAGGAAAACCTTCTCGAAGAACAACAACACACTGAATTAATTTTTCATTTTTAGCCAATATATAATTTTCTTAATTTATAGAATTTGCTGAAAATGTAAAAAATTAGAGTACCTAACCAAATTTAGGACTCAAGGATTGAAAAGTTTTTTTTTTCCTGCCGAAGTTCTCGTTTGCCTGTGGCAAATATCAAAAATCTTTTACCTCGATTCGTTATTATGCACATATCTTGTCACATTGAGAGAGGAGAGATTATCTTGATATAGGAGATTTTCTTTACCCTGTTAAAAATAATACTGCAAAAATTTGGAATGTCAACATTTATATTTTTCCTTTTTATTTGCTTTCATCATCAGAAGAAATTTTATTCAGTAATTTGAAAAGGTATTCTGCCACAGTGGGCAATCTGGTTATGTAAAATTTATGAGGCAACTTTTCAAACTTACTTTGCTTCCCTGTGAGGACCGTATTCAGCAGACATTTTGTATGGTGTTGGTTGTAGACCAATATTTTGGATTTTGCGGATGAAACCACCAGTGTTGAAAATCTGTGATGATACACGTTTTAAACTTGAAACGATTTCTTCCTGAATAGAATAAAATTATTGATTAATATTATTACAAGTGCAATGTTCAATTGTTATGCTTTCCCCAAGAGTGTACATTTAATTGAATTTTGACAAACTTTTAACCAGAGTGTGAGTCACAACACAAGTTCACTGAACACTTGAATCCCTTTTCAAGAATTTGAGACCACCAACTCACACTGGATTGATGGAAAACAAAAAGAAAAAAGGCGAAAGAAAGAGGGGGGAAAAGAGGGAGAGAGAAAAAAGGAGAAAAATAGTAGAGAAAGAAAAAATATTTACTTGACGGAGAAAGAATAAGAATAATAATAAAAAAATAAAAAAAGAGGAGGAAAGAAATAGACGGTAAGTACCTAAGAAATTCATTTTATCCTGTTGCCATGTTATTCCACCTATTTCAAGTGAACTTTTTTCTTCTTTTATTTGGCCATTGATAACGCTGCAGCGCTGAACGCGCAGAGACAAGATCTCACCGAAACCGACTCCATCTAGAGAGTAGACTCTTGTCAAATTTCAGAGAATACCAAATCTTACATGTGAGGGTCTCTAGTTCTAGTCTGCCTATATTTGATAATTCATTGACAGTCTCGGAAGTAGGTTACATTTGTTGAATAAATACGATCCATCCTTCCTGTTACTTTTGTCTCGACACGATTTAAATAAGACTTAGGATTAAATATCTCAAAGAATCTAAACTTGAAACTTTCCTCAGGTCACACCATTTCAGTTGCGTACAGCAAATTGGAGAGTAGAATGTATGGTGACTTAGGATATGCTGAGAAGAGAACCACACAGAAAAATTTCATGTAGGCATTATCATTGCGCAACTAATGATGCAAGTTGCAAAATGCAGATTCAACAGGCAAACTTGAAGTTCATCCAGCCCTTCATTCTTATTGATACCTCACAAATTCTGGTTGAATTCCTGATTAAAAAGTGTGCGTAAATACAGCCTTGACTTGAAGCAAATCCTGCAGGTGAGGCTACGGACAAGTGGCGTTTGGAAGAGGAATAAACACTTCAATCACATTTGGACTTCATTTTTTATGCAAATTATAAAATACAATATGCTTCTTAATCCTATGTTCCTATCAGGCCTGTTATCAGTTGAATGCGTTTGTTGAAACAGCATTTATACAAAAGCTCAATGTGCATATCTTGATTCAGAGTAAGAATACAACATCAACCCCTAATGAAACGCTCGCATAAACACAGCTACTATCAGGTGATTTTCAATACCGCTCTGCGGTGTTTGAACGATAGGAGGCTTGACTGTAGGTCTACAGGAAGCTCAAGATGGGTACATGTAAGTATAAAATACATTAGAATTTATTGATTATAAAAATAAACTTACCCGCGGCATTACACGCAGCAATAGAGCTAGTTCATAAGAAGGCATTTTCTCGTTCGGTAAAGTAAAATGTAAATGGTACAGCACGTCAGCAGGGGACAAACCAGAGAACTAGGTTGATGAACCAAAAAAGAATACAACTCTCATGAATTTGATGGTTGGCGACTGAGAGAAAAGGAGGGTTGAGTCTTAAATTCTACATTATACCTTCCTCTATCCGTTTGAGAATGAATAATTCAGACAGTAGAAATAACTTGTTCACGGGGTTTGATAAGAAGCGAGGAGCAGCAAAATCAAAATAAACATGGACATGGAGAAGGAGAACATGGCCGGTAGAGTTGCCATTTTATGCTTTTTGAAATTGCACTTACCAAGTCTTGAATTTTCATGTTCTTTGTTTTTATCTCGTAATTCCTCTTGGAATTTAGCACTGATTACGCTAATAATTCTCTTATGATCATAAAATTGCAACTGAATAAGCTACACGTTTTACTTCCTCATAATTGGCATGACATACTTATTTTAGGGAGCCCGGTGGGAAAATGAGGTAAATCCCACTGTCAAAGACAGGTTGGCAGCGCTGAATCGTCAACAAGTCGAAACTAGGTCGAAACTTCTACTCCCATTGGTTCCCGCCAATTCGGCGGCGCGCTCGGCAAAATATACAAATTGACGCGGCAATTTTCAAATTAGCGGGGACCACTCTAATTGAGCGCACACTGAGAATCGGTACCGTGCGAGGTTCCTTCTCGGTTTTAAGTTTCACATGAAATCAGGGGATCGCTAGGTTAATCAGGGGATTGAAGAATCCGAATTTCAAGGCTCCGATCCCCCCCCCCCCCCCCCCCCCC